TAAAAGGAGATATTATATGCCTCAATAACCTCCTCAAAATCTAACGTAGCAATGTAAAATGGTTGCTCAAACCTTTTAGAGAATAATATGATGGGTAACATTTTAAACTTTATAATTAGTGGGTTTAATAAGTAGCGAACATATTGCAAAGTTGTACCCGTGCCAATATACACTTGTCAGAGTGGTACACGAAGCTTGTGAGTACCATTTGTCAAACTTCCATTTTTGTCCCAGATGGGACTCAACTCCAAAAATTACAGGGGTTTGCACTTTACAGAGAAAGTTTTATCCCAAATATGACATTTGTTACTTTGTACTTATTTATGTTTTAAATACTCTTTGCCATCAAAGTTAGAAGAAATAGGGGTGACTATGGTATTTACATGAAAGGAAAACCAAGATGAAACTATTTCTATATAGTTTGTTTTAACTGAACTTCTCGCATCTACATGGATGTCACCAGAAGACCATGAGCACCAACTGAAGTACTGGGCAGTAACATGATGTCCATTGCACCTGCAGGTTTATGAACACGCTTATAGCCCTTGAAAGATATTTCTTATTATGTCAAATGTTGAATCCAGTTAGTATATACTGTTTCTGCTTCATGTAAAAAACCCACTTGATTTGTTAATTATGAACATTTGTTTTAATTATTCATCAATGTCTACTGTACTTTTGATATTTTCGTACACAAATGACTAGATAAATGTTTCATGGCAAAAGAGTTATTCTTTGTAATATGTCTTTCCTGCTTTTGAAAGCATTAATAAGGCCATTGTGTTACGCACAATAAATTTAAATTTAAATGGGTTGTCTACAAGTTGACCAATATCTTTTTTTTAATCTGCAGAACATTTAAATGTTTCAAAAGTAGTTTAAAATAACCAAATATCAATATTTTAAAAGAAGACAATTATTTTCTGGACTCACATACATGTCGTCTGCTACAGAATAGCTTGTGGTCATTAATCAGTTGTGACACACCGGGGAAGCTGGCAAGAGGACCCCTGCTGATAGCGGGAGTTTTGGGGGGACTGGAATGCAGTTAGCTGTTCCTCACTTTGAGGATTTCAGAGACCCTTATTCCACTAAGTGTGCACTGGTATTGAAGACTACTTGATGGGAGTAGCAGAGTACAGGTGCATTTGCCACACAGAGAGAGAGAGAGAGACACACACACACACAAACACACACACACACACACACACACACACACACACACACACACACCATTATACAAGTGCTATAATCTGGAGGGGGCACGGGTGGCTCAGTCATCTAAGGCGCTGTGATTTGCTGTGCAGAGTTGCGTCCCTTAGGCATGCCAGAAATTTATGATTGAATCCTGGTTCGCCCCAATTATGTTTCTAAATTTGTCAGCACCATACCAGTGCTGGAGGGTTTCACTGAAGTGGTAAACGTCTGAGACCTGCATCACTTCGGGCTTTCCTCCCACATTAAGCTGACACGCCGCGATATAACTGGAATAGTGTTAAAAGCGGCGTTAAACCCAACTCACTCACTCACTGCTATAATCTGGAATGTGACGTTAAACCTTATTTCCCCTCACTACATTTTGTTCTGAAAAGACAATCTTTCATTTTTTAGAATTTGAGCCTAGAGGTATTGGACGGATGATATATAAATTTTCCAGAATCTTGTATTTGTCAGCACAGCATTCATATTGTATGTACTCTGTAGTGTAGTATATCATCTGATGAGAAAAACTAACTGCAAAAACATTTCTGGAATTGTTCAGCAAATCCCAATTCAATTATCTAAGTTTATGTTTTCCATGCTAATTATTTTGGAAGAGCTTCAGCTGCTGGCTGCTCCCTTCAGCATGTTATCCCACTCCACTGATTCTCTGCTGTCTACCCAGTCATGTTTAAAACACAAGCACCACAGCTTACGCAAGAACTACACAATCTATGAGGTGATAAGTCAGAGGTCCTACCGTGATTATACACAAGTGTGCTGTTACGGAGGAAGTGTGCTCCTTGACATGATTCCTGTGAGGGAGAATGTGTTAGGTGTTATGTTGGCTACAGCCTCGTTTTGACATGGTATTTGGTTTTACAGTAATTTTAACTAGAATTTTGGTCATACATGGAAATGCCTCATTTATGTGACGTTGAATAGAAATAATCTGTTTCAGTTCTCTTTGAAAAAAGATATCTTTGACATCCTGTCAGCATATTTGTTGTAAAGGGCTTAACTTTTAGTTGATTTACAAATAATAAACCCCAAAATGTTGAGGATGCGGGGAGGGGGGGGGGGGGGGGGGGGGGGGGTTAAAAACATCAGATATTGTCATTGGTGTTGGTAGTCAGTGGTTTGTCACTTATTATAGTTGCAGCAGATTCCATTATCATGGTTTACGCCAACAAATATTGGCAGCAAAAGAGAGCATCAGCTGTATGTTGATCAGGATTTCTGTTGCTAACTCTAAAAGTAGTTTGTGGAAGTGAGCATCTGAGACCTGCATCACTTTGGGCTTTCCTTCCACATTAAGCTGACACACCATGATATAACTGGAATACTGTTCAAAGTGGTGTTAATACCCAACTCACTTGAACGGTAAATCTAGGTAACATTACAATCAGATCCGGTGGCATGGACAGCTAAGTCATCTGGAGTTGTGCCCCTTAGGCATGCCAGAATCCAATGATCATTAGTTCCAATTCAACATTTTCCCAGGTTACATTCCCTTGTTCATCAGAACCATATTCAGATTTGTGAGTTTCACCAATGTGGTAAATGGCTTCGCCCTGCATTGCTTTGGGCCTTCTACATGAAGCAGAATGCCCATGATATAACTGAAATATTGTTCAAGGCTGGGTCACTACAAGAAGTTATGTTTGTTTCTGTTCACCTAAACAGAACCACATAAACAGTATGGGTTTAACATCCACCAAGGCTGCAGTGATCACAGACACAAGTGACTCCTATACTACTATATTATATCATCCACAGCTAAAGAGGAGGAATTGTCAGTTGCAAGATAACTTTGTACTACAGAGCCAAAGATCTTGAAGAAGCTTCTCATATTCTTAGTCTTTGACCATCAACTACATGGAACGGGTATCCCGATGCCGCCTTCAGGTTTTGTCCTGGTTCACTTGGTTTTGATCCACGCCACTTCATTATAGTGATGGAGATTTGACATGGTTATGCAGCATTGCCTTCTAACTACCCATGTTGATAAATAAAAGCAACCAAAAAAAATCCATAATCATAGGAATCTTTGCAAAAAGCAGAGTCCATTGTATGATTCTGACTACATGAAGAGCATGTGGTTATGAATTACCATCAGATGGTGATGATACCAGGTGTTCATGAAAGGTGGGCATATCCTGCCCCACCGGTGGCACACGTCAGGAATGACCCACCCGTCCAACCTAGTGTTTGAGCCAGGGACAATATGTTCTCCCTGTAGCCTGGTTTATTTGTGTCCAAGTGGAAGGTTCAGTGTATTCTCTAGGATTAGATGACTAGGAGCGGCTGTTCTTTTGGTAAGTAATGTCACGGTATCACAGTTCCTGCAGTACACTCCATTATTACCCATGGTGGGGGGAGCGGGGATGGGTCTGCCAATAGTCTGAGGCACTGCTTGTGCCTCTTTGGCTTGCCAGAAAATCATGGGTTTGACCAGATTTCCTTGATTGTTTCATGGTGTGTCAGCACCATACCCAAGCATGTGCGTATCACCAAGGTCGTACAAGTCTAAGACCTGCAGCACTTCTGGCTTTTCCTCCCACAATAAACTAAATTTCCAAAATCTTTGAAATCTTGTGGTGATGTCAGGCAAGAATAAGTCTCAAGTACCACATTCTTGTCATTTTGCCAACTAAAATCAGGATAATATAGTCCTGAGTCATGGTACCCCGTTATCATGATCGTATCAATATGTTTCAAAGCACTGGTTTGTCTGGCCCAGACTAGATAATACGTTTGTTTTACGAGATGCAAAATATCTTGTTACGCAATATAACAGATGCAAATTTTATGCACTGGAAGTTCCATGGGAAGCAAAAATAGTGTAGCTTTTACCATCATTTACTCCCTTAAATGTGCATGGTTGCTCCCTTAGGGTAATTATTAACCAAAAAACATGAATAGGAAATGTGCATGGTTGTTCCCTTAGGATAATTATTGACAAAAAAACAGGAATAGGAAATGTGCATGGTTGTTCCCTTAGGGTAATTATTGACAAAAAAACAGGAATAGGAAATGTGCATGGTTGTTCCCTTAGGGTAACTATTGACCAAAAAAACAGGAATAGGAAATGTGCATGGTTGTTCCCTTAGGGTAATAATTGACAAAAAAAAAACATGAATAGGAAATGTGCATGGTTGTTCCCCTAGGGTAATTATTGACAAAAAAACATGAATAGGGAATGTGCATGGTTGTTCCCTTAGGGTAATTATTGACCCAAAAAAACAGGAACAGGAAATGTGCTAGTTGTGCCCTTAGGGTAATTATTAACCAAAAAACATGAATAGGAAATGTGCATGGTTGTTCCCTTAGGGTAATTATTAACCAAAAAACAGGAATAGGAAATATGCATGGTTGTTCCCTTAGGGTAACTATTGACAAAAATACAGGAATAGGAAATGTGCATGGTTGTTCCCTTCGGGTAATTATTAACCAAAAAACAGGAATAGGAAATGTGCATGGTTGTTCCCTTAGGGTAATTATTGACCAAAAAAAACAGGAATAGGAAATGTGCATGGTTGTTCCCTTCGGGTAATTATTAACCAAAAAACAGGAATAGGAAATGTGCATGGTTGTTCCCTTAGGGTAATTATTGACAAAAAAACAGGAATAGGAAATGTGCATGGTTGTTCCCTTAGGGTAATTATTGACAAAAAAACAGGAATAGGAAATCAAAGATGGCTGCCAGTGTTTCCTTCCAAATGCCCATATTCTGCCTATGGCTTAATATGTATGTCCATATTGTCTGTTTTATGCATGTCCAACTTTTATAATTTCAGAGGGAATGAGAACGTGGAAACATGTCACCCGTGGTCCACCAGTACAACACAGCAGGTCGACCTGGCCTTCAACGTCTTCTTCATGATATATTTCTTCATCAGGGTAAGTTGTTGTCATTAGCACCGACACAGTCAAGTCAGATTTCCTAAAGTGAATCACTGTGAGACACCATCAAGTGACCAAAGCTGTAAATATCTACAACCTCCATCATATCAGGCTTTCCTCCGGCTTACATAAGACTGACCTGCCATGATATAACTAAAATTCTGTTTCATTCAAACAGCACTAAACCCAACTCACACACCCACAACCTCCTACTAAGTGTCATTTTAGCATTGGCAGCATGTATTACACCCCATGCAAACAAAGTCAAATGAAAAACTTAAATCTTCTGCACGTCAGATCATTACTCAAATTAATTTGTGACATGTGCATAGGGAAATGAAGAGCTGGTGGGCAGAATCAGCCTGCCATTTTCTTAGCCCACATCCCTGAACAAGCTTCCCCTAACTGACACTGGTATAATGGTCTTTTGTGTTGTTCATAGTGTCCACTGAGCATTAGTCCAAGTCATCAGCTTGTACATCTGGGGATGAACGTTCTATTGAATTAAGGACTTATCTGAAAGAATCAGGACTAGATGTAGCCAAAGGGAGTAACAGGATGTCTGGAGATTAGTTGAATATTGTCATAAGTCTCTCAAACATCTGGAAAAGTAAGATATTGGTCTGTAAAGATAATACATGCTTTGATCCCTGTTGAGGTTTCATTTAATGCCACACTGAGAACATAGTACGTGGAAGTCTGTGAGTGCCAGATTCCTGCTAGTCAGATGATCTAGGATACCAGTACCCTGTTAACCCTGGAATCTCATCAGACACCCGTTCCAGCTTAGGGATTCTCTTTGTGTGCCTGTTATTCTGTCACTGGTTGGAAGGGATAATTACATCAGTCGACGTCAGAGAGACACAGTCTTACGTAAACCGGAGACTGCATATCTTCCCACCATCTTTTTGTCTATGTTTTTCTCATGTCGGTTATTCCTTCCAGCTGGCCTCTGCGCTGCAGTATGTTTTCGTAGCAATATCTTCTCGCTTCATAACCTGTATGATTATGTATTGTGGTTTCTGGAGTACAGAGGGATCCATTAGGGTAACTCATGTTCCAATTCTTCCAGTGGTTTTATTTCCTTTGGAAAACAACCAAAACACTACACTTTTAGCTCAGAGAGAAGCACATTTAGCTCAGAGAGAAGCACATTGATATCAGTGCAGCAGCTGGTTGTGGAGATGGCTACCAGAGAGGGTGGAATCTGCATGGCTACCTGTAGTTGAACTCAGTTTGTCTTCTCTCAGGAGACGGAGTATTTTAGTAATATCAATTTTCAGTAGAAACTTTATTGTTCTGAATAACCGGTAGCTGAATGCTTAACAACCCTTTAAAATAAGATTGGATTTTTGTTGTATGTTGTATTTATAGAGTTTTAACTCTTTGGGGAGAGATAATATTATTGAAATATGGTTTTTTTTGTGAAAAAATAGATTGAAAGTGTTTCTGTCATCTGTTCAAAAAAGATTAACAGGAAAAAGTATTCTATTTAGTTGTATGTCACCAAGCCACACTTCAGTTTTGTTGGGTGTTCTTGTTTGGATGGGATCAGAAGTACTTGCCCCATTGACCGCCTCTGTGGTTTATTGGTTAGAGCATCTGCCCAGTGAGTGGAATGTCGGTGGTGTGATCCCTGATGCGATCCCTGTCCACGTCATACCAAGAGGCATTAAAAAACGGTTCTTGTTGCTACCTCATCTGGCAGTCGTCATTAAGGTGATAAAATAAGGACTTGTCAGCGCAGAGTCAGTATATATGGTATCCAATGTCACACACACACACACACACACACACACACACACACACACACACACACACACACACACACACACACACACACACACACACACACACACACACACACAAAACCCCCACACACACACACACCATTTTTGCATACCTTCTAACTTTCTTGTTTCTGTGTAGGAACAGTGGTGTAGCGTAGTAGCCTAGTGGTAAAGGTGCATATTTGTCACACTGTATGACTGGGTTTTGTTCCCTCATACTTTTGTTCCAATTCAGATACACCGGAATATTGTAAGAAAATGAGCCCCTACTGGGTTATGGGTAGCCAGTAATCTGTGCTGTCATAGGAGGTGGCTAAATAGATGAGGTACTCCGACTCAGTGACTTGAGGGGCGGTCGGGTAGCCTAGAGGTTAAAGCGTTCGCTCGTCACGCCGAAGACCCGGGTTCAATTCCCGACATGGGTACAATGTGTGAAGCCCATTTCTGGTGTCCCCCGCCGTGATATTGCTGGAATATTGCTAAAAGCGGCGTAAAACCATACTCACTCACTCAGTGACTTGTTGATTGACTGTCATTGTATGCTGACATTTAGGGATGCTGCTCATCAATCAGGATTGTCTGGTTGACTTGGTTATTTAATAGCCACTGTCATATTGGTTGAATATTGCTGGCTGTGGCATTGAATAATGAACAAAGACAATAACACAATGCCAAACCTAAGTCACTCAGACTAACACTTAATCTCTGAAAATAAATAATTTTGATAGTCACAAACTACTCCATTTAGGAGCCCCAGTGAGATGGGAGATTAAGAACCTGTGGAAAATCTAGACTCGCTTCATTTAGTGCTTTGCATACAGTAAGGACTAGGATGGGGAGAAGCAAATATGTTTCAGGACTGTGACACAAACTATCATTCAGTTCCTGTTCACTCACTCTAGTTTCAGAGACTTGATTGATTTATCTGAGAGTCAAGGTATATAAATCTTCACAGAATCCTCACTGTTGTGTACTGAATGACACACCTGTCCCTTGACCTGAATCAACGGAAACAAATAAGCATCCTTTCAACAGTTGAGTACACAATGCAAATAACTATGCTGTGCAAAAATGGTGTGAAAAACATATTATCTTTTCAGGCAGAATAAGAGATGAATTTCTAGTTCATCTGAAAACTAGAACTGGTTGGCATAACGAATAGTGAAATATAGGAATACTGGAACTAGTTCTGCTGCCAGCATGTTGACTGATCTATGTGGACTGACGCCATTATGTACACCTAGTCATACCGTCTGTCCTCATCCACATTGTTCTGTTAGTAGCGCCATCAGTGGAACTCAGTGTTTTGGCATGGAGAGCGCATGATAATGATATGATGAGATTCCTCTCCTTCTCTTGCTGTGTGTCTGACAAAAACACGAATGACAGGACAAGCTTCTACAACATCCAGGCCAAAATTTACTGGCAACCTAGGTTCTGTCATTGTCCTCTCTTGCAGGGTATTTGGTCATCAATCTGTGGGTCAAGGCTTTCAGTCATTGTCCTCTCAGACAGGATATTTGGTCATCGGTCTGTGGGTCAGGGTTTTTGGTCATCATTCTGTAGGTCAGGGCTTTCAGTCATTGTCCTCTCAGATAGGATATTTGGTTATCGGTCTGTGGGTCAGGGTATTTGGTCATTGTTCTGTGGGTCAGGATATTTGGTCATCGTTATGTAGGTCAAGGCTTTCAGTCATTGTCCTCTCATACAGGATATTTGGTTATTGGTCTGTGGGTCAGGGTATTTGGGCATTGTTCTGTGGGTCAGGATATTTGGTCATCGTTATGTAGGTCAAGGCTTTCAGTCATTGTCCTCTCAGACAGGGTATTTGGGCATCGTTATTTGGGTAAAAGTATTTGGTCATTGTTCTGTGGGTCAGGGCTTTTGGTCATTACTTTGAGGACGTAATTAAGCTTGCCTAAAATTAGGCCTATGATAGCAATTGGGAAAGAGAGCACAAGAATGATGAAAATAAAATTGAAGAAAACATGTGGCATCTCATTTACATGATGACAAATTAGGAATGACAGCATCTTGGTCATGACGTCATGTGACAGTGGAATTGCACGACAGCAGATTACAGACTGCTGCAGTCCTACATATCCGTTACTCTTTGGATTGTATCATTAAACGTTGCAGCTGTTGCCTCACTATACCGGCCATTCTTTGCATTATCATCGGCTCATTTCCTGACTTACCTGCCTCATGTCAGAGAGAAAGTTCCTCCCATGCATCCTCACAACACACCTGTTCTCTTTTTCACAACGGCCTGATTACTACTTCCAGCCGCAGTTGTGCAGAGTACAAGAAGTGGAAGCAGGTTACTGCAATAGAATCCAAAAAAGGTTACAGAGAGGCAAAAATAGAAACTGACAACTATGTCAATTTATATGTAGCTGAACTGGCATGCACACAACTAATCCTGTCATTGTGGAAAACCAGTTAATGTTGGCGCTTTCTATGATTTCTACCTGCAAAGAAAGAATACAGACTTGAGCTTTGGACTATATTCAATAATAGAATGTTATGGTCCAACTCGAGAATGATGCCTTTCATTCATGACTAAATAGGTCAGGCAGACAATGGCTCAGTGCCCCTGTAGAGGTCCAAACCTAATGCAACAACCCTCAAATGGAAATGTTATACCACTGACTTGTGTCGGAGGACTTTAGAAAATCACTATTAAGTAGCATGCTTACAGAGGCTTCACAGAACATATATGTCATTCTCCACTAGTAGTGAAGATGAAGGTCATCAAACAGTTGGCACAGAAGGAAGCTGTGATTGTCAAGATCATACACCATATGGTCTTGTGGACTGATCTATGGTCTCCGGACTGATACTTGTTCTCCGGACTGATCTGTGGACCAAGTCAGGAGGCTATGGTCATAATATGCACCCAAGTTTTGAACCTTTGATTATGAACACTATCCTAGTGTTTGGTTTGTTTGTTTGTTGTTTAACGCCGCACTCAGCAATATTCCAGCTATATGAGGGCAGTCTGTAAATAATCGAGACCAGATAATCCAGTGATTGACATCATCAGCATCAATTTACGCAACTGGAATATGATGATGTGCATCAACCAAGCCAGCGAGTCTGACCACCCGATCCTGTTAGATGCAAAAAAGCCTAGTTGCCTTTTACGGCAAGCATGGTTGCTGAAGACCTATTCTACCCCAGATTGTAACAGGTCCCTAGTGCTTA